GGGGCTTAACTAAGGTTTTGTTCTTTGTTCATTGAAGCCCAAATGAGACAGTTCTAAATGGTATTCAGTATCCCTTAAGCTTTATTTATTATGACCTGTATTAGTGCATAATTAGAGGTAATATTATTGGTAATAATAATAATACTTTGTTGAGATCTTTTTTGGTATTGTGTGTCATCTAAATACACCACACTGTATAATTGGGACTGTTGTATTCCTATAGGGTCTATAGTGCCAAGTACATTGTCCTGGAGTCCATTGTCTTTTCAATGTAGTCCAGGATGAGGCTTAATCCCCCAGGAAACTGATCCCAGAAGTAAAACTAGATTGTGATTGATGAATACTTTATGCTCAATAGTTTGCATAGCAAGGTCTTAACAAAGTGTATATTATTACAACTAATAATGCAGCAATTATTGATTTTCACATAACAGACCTTCAGATAGGGCCAGAGTGGGACTTGCTTTCAGACCGGCCTCATTGCTTTCATGCAAAATAACCTTTTTCTAAAATCTGCACATTTTCATCTTATTCATTTTATACTCTTATTTACTATTGATATGCTACACTAAGCTAAATAGGGTGGCTAGCTAGTGATAAAATGAAAACTGGCTAAAGCTTTCATCTGAAATGTGACAATCATGACAGTTAACCTGCTACAGAACTAATGCTAGCTAAGTAAGTTAAGATCACCTGCTCGGATATGTCTTCATCCTCCTTAAGCAGCTTTTTTATTCTTGTCCTCTCAGCACCAGCTTGTCTTGCCACTGCTGTCCATCTTCACGTGATTCAAGTATAAAAACTTCTGAATTTGTTAGCTAGTCTCACTAAGCTAATGTTAGCTTCTTATTCGATTTCCATTCCATCCTAAATAGTGAAGCAGTTACACACTAGGGCTCATTCAGGTGTCTGAATGTAATGGCTACATCATTTAAGGTGGAACAGGAAATGAGAATAAGAAGGTAACTTCAGATTGACATAATCTCAAACCGCTACACGAGACTTAGTTACCAGGGCTGTACCACTGGAAGTGGGAGCTGCTCATTTAACACTCAAAATACTTCAGATATACACTTGGATATAACATTTATAGTTTGTCAGAGTGTTCTTGTCCTTATACGTGTGAGTTTGTACATCAGCTCGCAGTAACTGGCCAAAAAATGTTTCTGGCCCACTGGGAATTCTCTTAACTATCCTGATTACACTGCCACCAACTGATACATGAACAAAGCTTAACCCCCTATTATTGCTACTAAGGCTTATTATACAGCAATTACAGGGACTTCAGTGCAAAGCTGTTCTTAGTTTTCTTAGCTGTGACCCGTGTAGGTTTACTGGTAGTTCTAGCTCCTATCGCCACCACTGTAAAGAAATCTGAGTCTCTACAATGAACCATTTTGCAGCAAACCCCTCTACAAAGCTGCACTGTAATGCTAACTAATCTGTTAGCACTAGTTTCTGTACTTGTTTACATCTCTGCATCAAGCAAATGCAGACATTTTGAAAAATTAGTGGAATTCCCCTTCACAAGCTCCTTGATGCAGATGAATGTTCTGTAGCAACGGAAAATGGAAAATAACATATGACACTGCACATGGCCGCATGTTGACATCGAGCTATGAGCCTGATGTTTTACAATAGGCAAATAGGAGGAGACAGGGTGATTTCAACCCCACTCGATTTGCTTAGGACCAGATTTCCATTCAGAGATTTTAATATTACGCGTTTGATTCGATTATTTGATTGACGGCTTTTTGGGTACACTGACCAACCAAATGAGACCACCACATTCATTTTCAATCAGTGCTTTCTAATCCCACAGTTCCATTGCGTTGCCTGTGTAAGTGCTTGTTCTGAATGCAAAGTGATTGCATTCTCTTGCCTAGTATATTAATACAGATTGTACTACTGGAGTGTGTTCTCTTAGGAGAATGGCAAAAAAGGATAAAGTTCGAGACCACCCTTCATTTAATTTCCAGTCAAAACAGCCATTGAGTACACGTTATTTATTTTTCAGCAACAGGACAAAAGCAGAAAACATACTTAAAGCTGCACTATGGGTTTCTTTTGTTAAAACTGAAGGAGTCAGAAGAAAATAATACACTAAATTATGGTGTGGGCGCACTGTTGTGAGTCGCCAAAAAGAAGGTAAGGCTCGATCTTTAGGCCTCAAATGCAAAATCAGCATTATACTGCTGAAGATGTGATGATAAGAGCAGATAATAATCTCACGTTCTTCACCAAGTATTGACTGAGTTCTCGTTGAATACTCTTTCAATCATCAGATTCATCCCCTCGCAGGTGGAGTCCAATTTACAACCCACATTACAAAGTGTTCTTCCAAACACTGTGTGCAATTACACATTTCCAAATCCCCAAATCTTATATAGTGCAACTTTACACAAAATGACTTTCAAAAACTAAATATAACATAAAAATATTCAGTATTTAGTTTGTTTTTAATGTCTTTATCGCAGCTTTCAGAGACTTGTTTTCAGATAGTCCTCAAAGAAAAGTTATTGTTTCAAAAGTTATTTTACCATCACCAACATTACATGTAAAAACTAGGAATACATTGAAATTTTGGCCACCAAAAATGGCCTTTCAGTTCCTGAAACAAGGGCTAAATTGTTTAGAATATCAAATATGCCTACCATAAATGCCAAAATCTAATATTTTACAAATAATTTTAAACCTAATAAAAAAGAGAAACAGTGATTGCCTTGTGCCTCATGTGCTGATACATTCAAACAGTTTGAGCAGCAGAAGATCAACAGTAAAACTTTCAGCCATGCAGAACTTTTTCAGAGTGTCTATGAGAAACATTAGACATTTAAAATCTCTGTTCAGTCTGAGCATCAAGTGCAGTACCAAAAAGTTTCTCCACTACAGGTTAGATTCCTCAACATCCCACACAATATGCAGAATTCAGCTAAAAGAAATCCGCATGGAAATTTTTCCACATTTACAAAGTTCAGTCTTAGAAGTTGGTTTAGCATTTTCTGAAGTCAATTCAAACACATTCAGTGGTGTTGAGGTCTGGACTCTGGGGTGGTCAGTCCATTGTTGAGCTTCTTTGTTTGATGTGTCCGTCTACTTTTCTCAGTGAGGTTCTTCTTGAACAGCTACACATCCTTTCAGACCCACAGCGCTGAGTCGTCTTCTCACAGTGGAAGGATGGACAGAGACACCTGTGGATGTTTTCAGATCTGAAGCAGCTTGATTTTCTCCTCTCTCTCAGAGATGAAAGCTTTAAGTGCTGTTTATCTGATGGGGGCAGTTTTGGTGTCTTCCAGGTCTTCCAGGTTGTTGTTAGGAGTCCCATTTTCTCTATAGCTTTTAAAAACTTTTTGAACTTTTTCTCATATATGTGTATTATTTTATATCTAATCTCCTCAGAAAGATCTCCTGAAAATGCAGAACTTGTACTTAATGTCTGTTTTGACTGAAAATAAAACAAATAAAGAGTGGTTTATGACTTTTGCACATTACTGTATATGACAGTATTTGCCATTAGTAATGTGTCGTGCGCATCCATCAGAGTGGCTCAAGAGGAAAGAAATGAATGAACTGTGATTGTCAGCTCTTTAATGAAGGAAATGGTTCTATCCAAAACCATGAACACTCAAAGAACCCTTTGCATATTAAAGGGTGAACAGGTCCTTCGGATTGATGGCGAATGTGCTGTAGATGGTTCTGTATAGAACCTTTTTGAAAAGGATTCTACACAGCACCGAAAAGGGTTCTTCTATTAATACAAGCTTGACATCGTAACAATAGCAGAACCCTTTTGGTGCTATATAGAACCCTTTTCAAAAAGGTTCTACATTGATCAATCAATCTGAAGAACCAATTTTTCATGCGAAGAACGCTTTAATTATGCAAAGGGTTCTTTGAGTGTTTATGGTTCTATATAGAACCATATAGAGCCGTTGTAAAACCATCATTTTTGTGTGTACATAATCAAATTGTTAAGATGTAAACAAAGTCAATCAGAGTGGTTTGGCGTAAAATGCTCCATTTTAGAAAAATGTACATAATCAGAATTGTTTACAGTGGTGGTGATAGGAACCAGACATCCAAAGCATTTAATTTAGCCTCTAAAATCTCCCTCATGGAAAATTTTGACACAAAGTGGTCACAAATACACTGCTTCATACCTGAAACGTTATTTTACAATCATTTTAAGATATATTTTTGGTCTAAAACTTATATTTTTGAAATCCACTAATGGCAGAGGGGTACATGCAGGGTGTTCTAAGGCAAAATAGTCCACAAAGAAAAGCAATTTTTTCAGATTTTCCACTATTTTTCTATATAAAAACTCAGAAAACAGGTGTAGGTTGACTGGTGGTTTTAGTAAATAAAACGGCTGTAAATGTGTTGTAGACAAGGTGACTCCTGGTTCCTATCACCACCACTGTAAAGAAATCAGAGTCTACCGTCTACTGAATGACTTCGATCACATCTCAGTGACTGAATTATGCAGAAATCATAATTCCCCTTAAACTTGAATAGAAATGAATGCAACTGAATGCCCTATGTGTACCTGATGAATTTGTATGAATTAGCAATTTACCAAAAGCAGCTTAACAGAATGATTTAGAAGGCTTCAGATTTTCCATTTGCTGTCCTTTTCCAATTCTGCTTTTCTAATGATTTTTGTAAATGATGCCTCGTCCTGTCCTATTAATTCATATCCCCCCAAATGCATCACTCTGTCTCATTTTACAATGATGTTTCAGTAATGGATCGGCCTCCTTTATTTAAAGCATTCAATCTCACAGCTCCTCATATTAACCCCCGCGTTCGCTGGCCTGAACAATATGGACGCGTTTACCATGGCGTCACCCGGGCCTTGACTTAGTCGCTGAGGCTTCCCCACAGGCCCTGTGGTGAGGTGACCCTCCCAAGTGAAGCTTTGCATGTTGATTTCCATGTGTTCCATACATGGAGGTAAGCTTGTTTAGACCCTCCACAGTCCCACACGCTGGCAGAGCGGGCAGCAGCCAGATGCTAAGGACCACAGTGGCAGAGATGGCCATAAAGTGAGTTTGTTTGGGATTCAATTTGCATCACTTACTGCACTTGGAATGGACCTTAAAGCACTGATTAAAATTGCAAGCTTAAAGTTTGCTGATGAGTCAATGGAGCAAAGATTTTTGGTTGTACTTTGTTGGTATTTTTAAGGAAAACCTACCATAAATAGAATGTAATTGTACTGTAAACATTATACAGCTTTAAAATTTAGCCTGGTTAACTTGAAATGTCGATTTTATTGAAGTTAACAGAAGAACAATGTGTGTTTTACATTGTTTAACTTTTATTTGAAGTGGAATTAATAAATTTCATGCTAACCAGTTTACTTTTTTAAGTTTAAAAGCTACATATTTTTTACAATAGTTTTACTGTAAGGTAATAAAAGTTATGCAGTCTATATGACTAGTGAAAGATCTCAATGTAATTTTCAAGGGTAGATTTTGTTGCTTTTCCAAGGACCCCCTTGAAGATGCAGCGTCCTGGAGTGAGTCTATCGAAAAGCTGTTGGGGTGTAAAGGTAAGAAACTGACCATGTATTGGCGTAAAATCCCAGGCTTATTACATACTAAGGCTTATTACTTAGTACCTACAAGGACGTCAATGCAAACTAATGGAGCTATTCCTAAGTTATGAAGTGTGTAATAAAACTTTGGGGTGGGAAGAACCTTTGGTTTGAGATGTAGACAAAGTCGTTATATAGCTTTCGTTACAGTGGTGGTGATAGGAACCAGGGGTTGCCATGTCTACAACACAAACATAGCCATTTTATTTACTATCCAAAATGATCAGTGAACCTACAGACGTCTTTGGAGTTTTTATATACAATGTTGATGGTAAAATTGTGATAGCTCATTTTCTTCAGGGACTATTTTGCCTTCCAACGCCCTGCATGTATCCCTCCAACATGAATGGATTTTTAAAAATAAGTTTTAAGACCAAATCCTTGTTACTAAACTGTCATAAAACAATGTCTCATGCATAAGGCAGTGTATTCGCAACCACTTCATGAAATAGCCTTCTGTGAGGGAGCTTTTAGAGGTGGACTGGTTCCTATCACCACCACAGTGAACAATTCTGACAATTAGTTTCTCTAGAATGGAGCATTTCACACCAAACCACTCTGAATGACTTTGTTCACATCTAAACCATTTCATTATGAAGAAATGTAAAAAAAAATGGGGGTTTAAGAATTCTTCAAACATAAAACTCCATAAAGATTTGTACATTAATACAAATAAAGGTGCTAGAGAGAATGTGAATGTGTGATGCCATAGAAGAACCACTTTTGGTTCCCTAAAGAAACTTGCAATATTTCAATATTTAAACACATTTTTGGAAAGATGTGTGAGTGAACCGTTTTAAAGTTTAAAGAACCTCCACATAATGTAAAGGTTCTAGGAGGAACCATTAAATTGTTGTAGATTGCTTAATGGTTCTTTAAAGTTTCCAAACTGTTCCCTTTTTCAAACGTAGCACTTTAGGGAAGCAAAAGTGCTTCTTCAATGGCAAAGAATGGCAAAGCAGTACAGTCAACTAATCGTTACAAGGTTTTATATAATGTCAGGTTATAGCCTGTTTTGGTGCAATATAGAACCATTTTTGAAAAGGTTCTTCAAAGAATCATACACAAGAGGTTTTCCAGCATAGAGAAGAACCATGTATCCATGCAAAAAACCACTGACTTTACCAAAAAACTCTGGAAGAACCACTTTTTTAAGGGTGTACAGAGATACCAATTGGCAAAACTCTTTATAAAATGGGTCAAATGTACCGGATCAATCTTGGTTTGGAAATTTTGTACGCTATTCTGATGTTTTGATAAATGTTTGGTTTTTAGCACTTTTTAAGTCAGCTTTTTGCAATACACCTCACATATAACCCCACATAGTGTTTCTTTTACTATTTAATGAATTATATAATTGTAATAATTAGCTATTATTTCCAGTCAGAGCGCAGAATTTATTAAAGCCACCAAACAATGGGATAATCTGTCAGGGGAAACCATTTTTGCCATAATTAAAAATATTTTGCGTTATTTCGGCAGTTAAACTTGGTTCTTATTAAAAATTAATCTGAAAATCTGAAAAAAATGAAAATGAGATATCCCAGATTAATGAGACACTAATGTACACTGAATGTAAAAATTAGTATTTTCACAGTCAAAGTACTGTAAATTTTAATTCCTGCTCAATACTATGTTTATTTTAATGGCTGTTACTCTCATTTTGATGGTAAAGTACTGTACATCAGATAGTATAGTTGGACTAGTGAAACTGTTTAATTACAGAGAAAGTCTTTCTAAGAAATGAAATGACCAATTTTATAGATTTTTACCATCATTTGAGAAAACGTAGTTTTACCGTTTTTTATGCCTCAGGCTTCAGGCAGCACATTCTTAACCACTTCACATAATTTTCTGTGAGGGAGCTTTTAGGGAGAGACGTGTTTACTATCACCACCACTGAATGAAGCATTGCACATGAAATCACTCTTCTCGACCATTTCTCATTATGCAGGCGTTCTGAGAAATCCCCTTTAAAAGGTTCTTCGTTTTATTCAAATCTCAGTAACAGTATTCAAATTTGAGTTTTCCATCTTCTCAAGGTCACAGAGATTTCATTACTACAACAACCCCTTACAGTGTCTCCACAAAGGCCTTTGCCTACATGGTTTCCCTTCAGAATGTGAGATCTTTTCTCTTTTGCAGCTGGGCAGCTGGCGTTCCAGGAGTTCCTGAGGTCCGAGTACAGCGAGGAGAACATCCTGTTTTGGCTGGCCTGCGAGGAGTACAAGAAGATCAACAACACACCAGAGATGATCATCGCAGCTAACCGCATCTACTCCGAGTTTGTGCAGGTGGAAGCGCCCAGACAGGTGGGTTACAGTGCGATTACTGCAGCTGCTGCACCGCATTGCAGAGAAGAGGACAGTGACTGGACATTGTTTTTAGAAGCTGTGAAGTGGTTTCTTAGCAGTGGTATCTCATCGCTCCTGTCAGAACAAAACACTGTATCTCCAAAGTGTTAACTTTACAGGAGAAGGAAAAAACATACTTTACTTTCAATGTAAGTCAATGGAACCAGACGCTTTTCCAAGTAATTTTGGGCCGTTTCTTTCGGTCCATTCATCATGAAATTTATACACAATGTAAAGGGCAACAGGCATTTTCAAATTATGTCAAAAACTGAAAAATGAATATAAACGTATGTATATGTATTTTTTTTCCAAACCAAATTCAGCAGCTTCCATTCCACCTTAAATAGAGCGGTATCCTATCTGGCACCTATATAGGCCTGAATGCAACTGCGCTATTTAAGGTGGAACTGGAATTACAAATAAGACCCCAACTTCAGCTTCGTCAAATGTCTCAAGTCATTTGTCTCATAATGCATCCCTCACATTCATTCCTCTGGCCTTCAGATGTTGCTGGAATTTGGAAAATTTTAGCCATTAGCTTCAGTGCTAACTGGAACCTGTCTTGTTCCGTACCCAAGGCCCACAGTGTTATCTGAGGCACCTGACCGAGTTAGGCAGCTTCTCAGGTGGTACGATAGGAACGTTGTTGTAATCGGTCTGGTGTCCGTGTTTGTTGCAGTGGACTATACAGTGAGAGGAGATTGAGGGTCTGCTGCACTTTCATTTGAATTGTGACCGAAACCTCTATGAATAAGCCATTTAAGTAAAAAGGGCTAATGTCAGTGTTTGGACTTTGTACGTTGCGTTATCTGCACTTATTTGTGGCATAGCGGTTCAACGGTTATGACAAAGCCCATACCTGAGGAAGAACTTCAACCAGTACACCGGATAAACCAGTATACCACCATTACTACTCAGCTAGGTCAGAAAAAATGGACACCACAAAAGAGCGTGAAAGCATTGTCTGAATATGTAGATTTTATAGTGCCTAGAACTTGGTATTAGTAGTTTGTGAATGTTCACACTACACCACCTTCAGAAGAATTTTGAATATTAAACTTAAGTAGACTAAACTGTACAGGTGTAATATTAAATGATGCAGGAGTGTAAGATGGCAAAGGGAATTACTTGACTAATAAGCTAAGTTAGCATTGTTTTGTGATTGTCTAGTACTGGGTAGTGAACAAGTTCAGTATACTAGTTCAAATTCTTCTACATGTATGAGTTTTGCCATAACCATAACACTGGTATGCCATAAATAAACCCAGATTTAAGGTTAGCTTGTTTCGCTGAATGGCTAGTGGCCCATCTAGCTGAATGGAATCAGGAATGTTTCAGTAAAAATAATGAAGTTCCACACCAGTTTGTGGTCAAGGGAGCAAACATTAGCTTAGAATATGTAAAGAATGGCCAGTCTCTTGGGGTTAGCCTTTACTTTTTTTTACCTGTTAGCCATTCTTCTGTTTCCATGATAGCTGTAAACACATATGAGACAAATGAGTTAGATGTGAAACAACGTTTTTGCCATAATTAAAAATATTTTGCATTCACTTCAGTGGTTGAACTTGGTTCTTATTAAAAAGTGAAGGGATATCACAAATTAATAAGCCACTAACCTACACTAAATTAAAAAAAAGCATTTCTACGGTCAAAGTACTGTAAATTTTACTTCCTGGTCAACACTGTGTTTATTGTATTGGCTGTTACTGTTATCATGAGGTAAAGTACTGTACTAGAATAGTTGGATTAGTGAAACTAAGAAATGAAATGACTATAATTTTACAGATTTTTACCATCATTTGAGAAAACATAGTTTGACTGTTAATTAAAGAGATTTGTACAATTTTTTTACATAAATAGGTTTAGTTAAGCATCTAAAATGCTGTTATTTTGGAAAAAAATGATATAAATACATCATGCCATGATATACATACCAAACCTGTCAGAAATTATGGTTGCTGGCATATGCATTTTTGGCATATTGGTGAAAAATGTACCATTTCTTTACATGTGAAAACTAAATTGATGTCTGCGATTCATTTTCCAGATCAACATCGACTGCGGGACCCGCGCCAACATAACGAAGAACATCTCTGAGCCGAACCTCAGCTCCTTCGACACGGCACAGAAGCTGATCTTCAGTCTTATGGCGAGGGACTGCTACCCCCGGTTTTTAAAATCTGACATCTACCAGTCTATTCTACGGAAAGCAGACAAAAGCTGACTTCTCTAGGAGAGAAGCACTTTCTTTTCAGAGTGCGTTGTGTTCCCAGGTAAATGCACTTTCACGTCCAGTCGGAGCCGAGATCCATCAAGTTGTATCAAAAAAGTCATTCTCAAAAGGTGAAAAGTTCAGCAGAGGCATGCAGTGCTCTTCACTGCAGGTCATTATGACTTATTCCCCTCCAGAGAACAAATAGCAAAAAAGTCAGGCAGTTTAAAAAGGACTTATCTTAACAAAATGTGCTCAGGTCAGTCATGAATCCTAACTGTGTGCCAGTGTGGATCTTTTACCTGGTAACTAGCGCACTTTCTAAAGGAAATGTCACAGCGTGTTGCATATTAACACTGGCAAGTATCACTTCTGTGGACCATCTTATATTGTACAGCGACATGCAGTTTGCTGCAGATTGTATTAGTTAGCATTACTAGTACAGCTTTGTAGATGAGTCTGAAGTGTGGTGATCGGTTAAAAGGGGAACTCCACTGATTTTTTACTTTCTGCGTAATACCAGCATTAAGATATAAAGTCATTCCGAGTGGTTTGATGTGAAATGGATCATTATAGAGAAACTTACTGACTTAGATGTCCTTACAGTGTCCGTGATAGGAACCAGGCGTCGTGACGTCTACCACCCACACCAACAGTGAACCTACATGTCTTCTTCCTTGTTTCTACACTCAATGTCCATTTTATTAGCTCCACTGACCATATAGGAGCAGTGCGTGGACACAGTGTTTAAAAACTCCAGTAGCACTATAATACTAGCATTTAAATATGAGCATTTTAAAATGTTAACCCTCTATTGCAAAATGTTGCCTCAGGGCAACAAACTCATTTTCCTCACTTTACAATAATATTATACATATTTTGAGGCAATGATAGGGTTAACAATACAGGGAAGAGTTTGAGTAAGTCAACAAAAAGCATGTACTTGGTCATACTATCTTATAGTGGGCACATTTAACCTCTTTTTGAACATCCAGTATCAGTATTTTTTTTTTTTTGTTATAAGAATTTGCAGAAATACGTTTGTTGCCTAGAAGCAACTTTGTGCGACAGTGGAATGGATTTAGCCAGTTACAAGCCAGGTCTCACCACATCAGGGAACACGGCTCTGTATCATTTCTTCCCATTGTTGCATAATGTTGCCACAAGGCAACATACTCCCATACACACAAATTTTTTGTTCCAAATGGTTTTGAATTTCATAATCATGAAAAAATAAATTAAGGAGGATTTCATGCTAGAAAAGTGAATTGAACATATATATATTTTTTAAATTGCTCTTATAATTTGTGCAGTAAAGGGTTAAAGAACGTTCACTTCAGTACATAATACCTTATAAAGCATTATAAATACTCTTGATGAGATTTAAGTGGTGAGATAATCACATTGAAATAGTAATACAGGACACAATGTAGTAATTTGCATATATATTAGAACTGCATTATAGTCTGTCATAGTGCATTACAACATTCATGTTTACATTCATATGAAAAGATATAAAATGTGTTATGAAATCTTACAAAGTTATACACTCTTGTTTTATAAATTGTCACTCATGGAACGAAACAGTTATAGAAGCTTATAAGGCATTATGGATGCCGTATAACGCCTTATAAATGCATATATAAAGCCTTACAAATACAGAATTCATAGGTAGTGTTATCAAAGTTTTCTTTGGGGACTAGTCAGCCTTACCACGCCCTGCTTGCTGCATGTATCCCTCTGCCGTCATTGGATTTTTAAAAAAAAAATCTATTTTTTAAGCCAAAACATTGTTGCAAAACTGTGCCTCAGGCATCATGCAGGCCATTTCCTGTAATAACTCAAGGTAAGGGAGCTTTTAGAGGCCTTAAACTCTTCAGACGTCTGGTTCCTATCACCACCACTGTGAGCTACTCTGCTTTGCTTTGGCTCTAAAATGCCGCACTTCACATCAAACCACTCTGAATGAGTGTGTTCACATCTTAATTATTTAATTAGGCAGGAATTTTGACAAAAAAACTGTGGAATTCTCTTCGAAGTAAAAAATCTAATTTTTTATTTTAGTGCTTTTGTTTGAGGCAAAATCTAGTTTTTATATGAAATGCTATATATATATATATATACAGTGAATTTACTTTGTGTGAAACATATAGTCAAGTCTTAATGCCATGCTAAATCATACAACATTAATTATGAAACATCTGTAAAAACAGCAAATATTGTTTTATTTTGGAAATTCTCAATAACACTTTATATCAGATTTGTTTCAGTGCTTGTTGACTATTTACATCTCTGTAAAAACTGTTTTAAACAAATACAATGTATACATATTAGTACCCCAAGAAGAGCTGATCTGATGACAATGTTATGTTGTTTATTAACAATAATGTTAGACAGGAAGCTGCTCTGTTGAACAGGTTGAGCCTGGCAGGCCTTTCACTTGTGAAATGATTTGCTCTATTTGAATTACTTGTACAAATAAAATTGCTCCCTAAATAAACACCACACATTCCGAGTGGAACACATTTAAATGTGGACATTTGTTTAAAGCAATGTTTGTGAGCTGTCTTGGCTGAACAGTAGGTGGCAGTGGAGTGCCATAGAGCGCCACTGGGTGCCATGAGTGATCATCTGTAGATGTTTGGTGTTGATGATAAGTAATAAACATAAACAAGAGGGTTGTTCTCATAAACATGATAAATATTGTAACCCAACGATTTTAAAGGCTGAACTTAATATTCCCTCTTTTTGTTTATTTGTTTGTTTGTCTGTTTGTTTATCTATTTTGGAAGCACAAACAGTGATGCCTGGTTGAATCATTAAAAATCAACTTGAGTGATTTCATTGATTTAAATTTGAATTTTTAGTAATTTTTCAATTTAAGAGTCCAGATTCTCATTACTGCAACACAGTAAGATTTAAAGATAAAAGTGTAGATTTTTATTTCAGGTTTTTGTTTTATTACAATCTATTTACTGCTGTCAAATTAAATATTTTAAGGCTAATTATTAAAACATGTTCAGTTTACAAAATGTAGCATTTCACTAGTTTATCTCATGACCGCAACATATTGACAGTCAGTGATGTCACTTTTACATTTTCTTGTTTTGTTTCAGTTCCTTAGAATTTACAAGGACTGCGTTAAAGTTAAGAGACTGAAAAGTTTAAAGTAATTCACACTCATTTCTTTCCAATGACAGATAAATGTATAAAGGTATCGGTAATGAGAAACAGATATGTGGGTGCATTGCGGTAATGAGAATTAAGGTGAAAATGGTTAAAAAAAGGTTTGAAATTATAAATAAATAAATGAGTGCACCCTTTAGAGTTACAACTGATCTACTAAATCATATAAATATGTTTATATGCATGATGATGGTCACTCAGATGTATATGGACATGGTATGGACTTTTGCGGGAATGACCCATGTCAGGATAAAGGGCAAATACAGGTATACACTTAAAAAAGATGGTTCTTTAAGGGTTCTTTAGAAAAGTAAATGGTTCTATATAGAACCGTGAACACTTAAGGAACCTATTGCATGATTGAAGGGTTCTTTGCATCGTGAAAGCGTTCTTCAGACTGATGGAGAATGTGTGGTATATGGTTCTATGTAGAGCCTTTTTGAAAAGGGTTCTAAATATCACCAAAAAGGGCTCTTCTACTGTAACAAGCCTGACTTCATAACAGTAGCCAAACCCTTTTTGGTGCTATTATCAAGTCTATACTGGTTTTACTAGCAGGGTTTTATGCAAATGTCTATTTGCTGAGTTTAACATATTGGAAAAAAACTAAAATATTAGATATTTGATCTTTTGTATCAGCAACATTTTCAAGAAAATCAAGAGAATGTTCGATTTTTGCGCTGCTGATTTGTTCCAAACAGGTAAGTTATGTCTGAGTTCTGATTATGCATTATTGCCTATGATAACATATCCAGGCATCTATAATTGCCTTCACACATCGCCGGAGCTCAAATCACTAGAATCTACATACATACATACATCATCTAAACCGCTTATCCTTCTGGGTCGCGGTGGGGTGCTGGAGCCTATCCCAGCTGTCATTGGGCGAAAGGCAGGATACACCCTGGACAGGTCGCCAGTCCATCGCAGGGCAGACAGACAGACATACACAGTCACACACAAACTCACACCTAGGGGCAATTCAGCATGTCCAATCAGCCTGACTGCATGTTTTTGGACTGTGGGAGGAAACCGGAGTACCCGGAGTAAACCCACGCAGACACGGGGGAGAACATGCAAACTCCACACAGAAATGACCCTGGTCACCTGGCCGGGATTCAAACCCAGGCCATTCTTGCTACCCACTGCGCCACCGTGCCGCCCCACTAGAACCATATTTTTATTTTATCTGTGGGTCTGTATTTTGTACCACTAGCTACACCATCAAACAACGTTGTGATCAGAAAAGTGAGTAAGACCCTGCTGGGAAAACCAGTACATTGCTGGTCTAAGCTGGTCTACTGGAAAACTGGCCTATATGGAAATATTGCAGAAAATATGATTTAACCCCTTAAAAAGACATTTGTTTTAATAAAATAAACATAATTAAGGTATAGGGTCACTCAAAGCAAAAGGATTTTAATCTAAAGTCTAAGTCAGTTAACCCCACCAATGGCCAGGGCCGACCGGCAGGCCCAAAGTTTTATTACACACTTCTATAACCTAAGAATAGCTCCTTTAGTTTGCATTGAGGTCCCTGTAGTTACTGTGTAATAAGCCTTAGTATGTGATAAGTCTAGATCATTAAGGGGTTAATCCACCGGGAAAATGACCGTCAGAGTGGCTTAGGCAATATTTTTTGCAGGATTGTGTTGTGTTTTTAAGTGCTCCCACCATATTTAAGCGAGAGAATGTGGCAAAACATATTGCTTGTCAACCTGCTATTGTCTTTATGCACTCAGGGCAGGTCAACACAGCTCCTTCTAAACAACAAAAACAAGTGATGAACAGTTTAACTTGCCTTAGTCTATCATACTCATTCTTAT